CGCGGGGGGGGAGAAGAGAGCTAGGGGGAAAGTGAAGTGAAGGAGGGGCCAGGGGGGGCAGGGGGGAAGGGGGTGGGCGGCTTGCCGCCGGGGGGGTGGAGGGGGGCGGCAGGCCGCCGATAAGGGGGGGGGGTGAAGGCGGCTTGCCGCCATTACGAGGAGAAGGCGGTTCGCCGCCAGAGGAGGAGAAGGCGGTTTGTCGCCAGAAGGGGTAAGCGGTTTGCCGCCACAGGAGGAGAAGGCAGTTTGCCGCCAGAAGGGGTAGGCGTCTTGCCGCCAGAGGAGGAGAAGGCGGTTTGCCGCCAGAAGGGGCAGGCGGTTTGCCGCCACGGAGGGAGAGAAGGCGGATTGCCGCCAGGGGGGGGAGAAGGCGGTTCACCGCCGACGGAGGACGAGGCGACGGAGGATAAGGCGGCACGCCGCCGAAGGAAGGGGGGGAGAAGGGAGGGCCGAAGACAAATGGATAAGCATTGTCCTCCTTCCCTCCCCCCTCCCCGCGGGCATAAGGGGCCGACCGCAGCGCCGCGGCCGCGAGGTAGAGCAAGTACCTGCGGCGCCTGTGTCCTGAACAACTGAAAATTTTAGAAAAACACATCGGGAACCCAAGGGATTTCAAAAACAATAAAACAATAACAAATACGCAAGTGATTAACAAAAACACGAATACGTTCAGCCCCATCGACTTAGCAGAGATATCTAACTTAGTATATTACTTACATCTACGCTTACAAACACCATCAGTATTGCATATGCACACATGAGATGCGCGATCAACAAGTGTACGTTCTATGGCTTAACTAAGATTATGTAAGATGAGCGCTCTTACCGCACTTACAGCCACCCGACGATCAAAGCAGCGCCGCCCGCGGCGGCGGCGGCGGCGGGGGCCGCCGCGGCGCCGGCGGCCGCAGCGGCGGCAGCGACGGCGCCAGCCGCAGGGCCCGCAGCGCCGTCCCCAGCGGCGCCCGCGGCGCCAGCGCCGCCCGTGGCGGCGGCGGCTCCGCTGGCGGCGGCGGCGCCGGCGTCGCGCCTGGCGACGCGGCGCCAGCGGCGCCGGCGGCGCCGGCGGCGCCCGCGGCGCCGCCGGCGGCGGCAGCGCCCGCGGCGCCGGCGGCGCTGGCCGAGCAGGCGGCGCCCGCGGCGCCGGCGGCGCCCGCAGCCCCGCCGGCCGCCCAGCCCGCGGCGCCAGCCCCAGCAGCGCCAGCGGCGGCAGCCGCGCCAGCGGGCCCGGCGGCAGCGGTGGCCGCCGCGGCGGAGGCCGCGCGGGCGGCAGCAGGCCCGGCCGCGGCAGGGGGCCGGGGGCGGCAGCCCGGGCGGCGGCGCCGCGTCGCCGGCCCGGGCCACGCCTGCGGCGCGGGCGGCAGCAGCGCGCCGCTGCCGTCGCCGCCGCGCCGCCCGAGATTCCATCCGGCCCAGGCCCCGGCGGCGGCGGACCCAGGTCGCGCCGACCAACCCCGAGCCAGAACGCCTTGAGCCAGGCTTGAGCCAGGCTTGAGCCAGAGGGCTTGAGCCAGAGGGCTTGAGCCAAGGCTTGAGCCAGGCTAGTTAGAGCCAAGCTAGCTACGGAGGCTGGTGGGGATACGCCAAGCGTGAAAGGCGCGCCCCGGCCGAGCGGCTGGACGGTGGGGGAGGCAGGGAGGGGCTCAGACATGTGGGGTGTCACGCACACGTCAAGACGGCAGCAGTTGTTTTCCGCGCCACCGCTTGAAGTCGACAATGCTGTGCCTTCCAACCAGGTGCATCGTGGCACGCATGAACTCAAGATTACCCACGCCACTGCGAGTTCCGAAATATCCCGTGGACTGTTCTGGCCGTCGAAGCATGGCCAGATGCGGATACAGGGCTGTCAAATCTTGGCGGGACCCCCTGCGGATCTGGCCACAAAGTACTCCAGTGACTCTGGAGTCGTGTTTGACGTTCTGTGCGCGATGCTCTTGAATTCATCTTGAAGTCCTTGAAAGAGCGGGACTCGGCCCGAGGAACCACAGTCCAGGGCGAACCATAATCCAGGGCCTTGCCGAAACCGAGGCAACAATATTGCGCATATTGCAACTCGGTACCAACACTCACTTCCGACAGTGCGCCGGCGGCGGCCCAGGACAGGCTCGGACGCGCGCTTGGCGTCTCAATGTTCGATGCCGTTGGAAGGGAGCTCGAAGGCCCAGGATTACCATCGTCCACACACTGTCCGCAATCGAAGATGAAGCTTCTGTGCCACAGGTGGGGTTAGAATACCTGAGCAGAGACGGCGAGGGCCGCGGCCCAGGCGTGTCGGGAAGAAATAAGCAGGAGCAGGAGGGGGACGGCGACGATGAGAGGACCAGGATGCTGGCAGTGGGTAGTAGGAGTGTTGGCAGGCGCCCCACCTCCTGGCATCACGACCTGAGCACGCTGTCTTAGGGCCATCATCTATCTCCTTCACCCCGCCCTCGCGTCGCTCCAACTCGGGCGGTATGCCCTCGATGTCGCCTTTGGTGTCCGACTGGATCAGGTTTATCATGCTCACCCCGATGCGACGTTCCTTGCGCCCCTCTTCTCCTTCCCCTCGTCGTCGTCCCCACCCTCCTCCCCCCTCGATTCAGCTCCCACTGCTTGCTCCTTCCAGCCACATGCCACCCACCTCCGCCCTGCTCCCCTCCCCCCCCCCCTGGAGGGCCCAGGCCCGCTGACCCCGCCGCGGTGGCCCACGGGCCCTCCGGGGTGGTGGCGCTCGCGGCGTGGCGGTCAGTGCCCCGAGGGGCAGTCCTCTACACTGGCAGTCCAACTGGCCCCCCCCTTCTCCTCCTCTCGGCTTCCTCTTCCCACCTCCTTCCTCTATATTAGTCGGCCGCCCTCCTCGCTCCTCCGTGCTCCCTCCTCCCTCCACCCCCACCTTGCTCCATAGTCCCGGACTTTCCAACACACGCCTCACGCATGCCTACGCCCAACCCCGCTCACACCTCATCCCTCCTCTCTCCCACACCCTCGCTCATCACTCTCTCCTCCCCGCATGTCCTTAACTTATCCCTCCCCCCATACATCCTATTCCTTCGAACTCCGTACGTTTTCGCATGCCCACCTCCCCCTCGAAGCTCTCCCCGTTCCTCCTCACTCCTCACCAGATCCTTCATCCGACCTCCTCCTTCTCATCCTCCTCCTCCGTCTCCTCCCCCCTAACTAGTTGTCCTCCCTTCCCCCCTCACCCCCCGCCACTTCCTACTAATCTCCCCCCTTATCATCCGCCTTCTCCCCCCCCCCTCCTCTTCATCCGTCTACGGTCAATCCGTATAAGAAGGACGCACGATAAGGATGCAAGGGCCTTGGAAGGCCATGTCGACACTATGCGAGCAGGGCGCGGCCAGCGAAAGCAGCCAAGGGTGGGCCGAGTAAGGAAGGATGCGCTGGCAACCCTGGAAAATCGTTCATCCTTACTGTGCGTCCTTACTGTGCGGGTTGACTGTAGCGTTCTTTCGCCGGCTGGGCATTGAGTGGGGACTCGTCGCGCCTGAATAATGGCACGGCCGAAGACACAAACGAGGACAACACACGCATAACAGAAGTTAACGGTAATGATGATGTGTGAAGGCATGCGAAGAGAGTAGGAAAGACGGCCCATGGTGAAGGCGGTGCAAATGCAGAGCATGACGCTCAACAACACATACCGACATCCCGATCCACGTTTGCAGAACCCCTCTCTTCCCCAGTGAGTTCTGTGCGAATTGCCATCTGAACTGTGCCCGCTTGTGCATCGGCACAAAGTGAGAGCACGGACTGAGAGCGGGAGGCCTCCACCACGAAGACTGGCCACCGTTTTGAGCAACAAGACTCGAACGCCCAAGCCGGCTCGGATTGGGAGGTCTCCACCCGGGCTGCACCCACGTAGGCTTCACGGCGGAGGGCCAGTCGAGACAACGGCGGCGCTCCCTAAAGATGTCTCTTCACCTTCAAGCCTACTGGAGGTTTCTCATCGCGACGGCTGGATCCGCCTCGAACAACTTGTCAAGATGCACCCCGGGACGGGTCCAGGGGGCGACCCCAATCGGATTGAGGCAGGGTCAGAGAGCCGCCGTTGTCTCAATTGGACCTCCACCTCGCTGGCCACCTCGCTGGCGGCTGAGTGCTGTCGGTGGGTCGCGCCCGAGCCGCCGGGGGGAAATAGCAGGAGGAGTAAATGAAGGAGGAGGGATTAGATTAGTATGTGACCTTGGCATTATTGGGCGCCCTCTTGCACATCATGATCCAGCCGATTACTACCACAAAGTGCGCTAGATACGGAACGAGGCCCCTTTCTGGGGCCCCAGAAGGCCTGGGTGCACGGGAACACTATCGCACCACCAGACGTGTCAGTGAGGCGCGCTGGGCGTTTCAGCTGAGACGCCCTAACCACTTGTGATCCCGAGGCTAAGGATTTCGAATAGCTACAAAGATGAAAAAGGGGGGTCACGAGGATATTTTGCCTACCGCCACGAACATTCGTCTTGACCGCCTCCAGTCGGAAGAAATATAGGGGGGTGATTTTCAAAATGGGGGTATCGCCTTAGCAACGCGCACCGTCGCCTTCAAAGCGTCTAACCGCTACACTGATGGAGGGGATCGTCTCAATGAGTTTGATATCGCACTAGCGCAGCACACGTTCGTCTTTGAAGTCTGCAGCATCTACAGTGATGGAAAGGGTCGTTGTAAAGGTGGGGTCTGGCCTAAAGGTCGCACGCGTTCGGCTTCAAAACCTGTAACTGTTACGAAGATGGAAGGCGGCTTCTGTCCCAAATCGGAATATCACCGTTGCGCCGCGCATACTCGGCTGAAATGATTGCTACTCTTAGGTCGGGCATGTTCCCCTTCAGGCCGATTTTGTAAGACAAATCAAACATAGTCAAATCATACTCCAAGCTAGTCAATAATGGTTTACAAAATTGTCCCCAGACTATTTGATATACTATTTTCAAACATCCCTCCTGTAGAGGGACGTGCCCAACTTAATGCTACTCTTACAAGGATGGACGACGGATTCTTTTCAATGTGGGGCTCTCGCTTGAGACATCCTCTTTTTCGAAAGCTAGAAGCATAAACCGACGTAACATTTGCACGGCTGGAGGGCGGGGTACTTCCAACGTGGAGCTCTCGTGTGAGACTTCATCGAACTTACTGAACATGTGGGGGCGGCTGTACAGCCGAAAATATGGTGAATAACCGTATCATTCAAGAAGTCTGGGCCAGCTTCCCAACAGTTTCTTAAAACAAGCCTGGGCCAAATTCTTCGGTTAACGCTCGAGGGACTAACGCGATCACGAAATTGGGCCAACTTCCTGACTGGTTGGCTAAGAATCGCTGGCCCAACTTGTCGGGAGTAGGTTTTATCAGATGCCCGACCGTACTTCAAAACGGGCTCTCGCTGGACACCGCGTTTGACCACACCTTTTTTTCGCAGTGGCTGCACCCGCTGGAAGGATGCAGGCCGATTCCTTTTCAAGAACGGGGCTCTCGCCTGCATGGCAGTCGCCGCCTTTCACGGGGGCGCCTCGCAGACTGAAAGCGAAGGCTTGTAGGGACCTACCGCCAGAAATATGATCAAACAAGAAATCATTTAAGCAATCAAAGGTGCCTGGCAGCATTCGCCCCAAGATCGCCCACGGGTCGGCGCCCGAGAAGGCCCTCCGGACGAAGCCCTACATGCCGCCGCGCTGGTCCCGGGCAGGCTGCGCTGCCCGGCGGAAGAGGACGAGGAGGGGAAAAGCAGGCAGACGACGACAAACGCCCAGGCGGGTGGCCAGGGCTGGCTGGGCGTGCGGGCAGGCAGAAGAAGGGCCAGGCGGAGAAGGCAGGCGGGGAGCAAGCATGAAGAAGAAACTGATCATTTAAAAAATCTGGGCAAACTTCCCGGAAGCTTCTTAGAACAAAGATGGGCCAATCCCACCAGCCCTTTGAGGGCGTAGGTGGTTTAGGGTTTAGGGTCCTTTTCCACCCCCTTCTTCCCCTTCGGGGAGGGGTTTCTCCGCTGATTTCTTGGGGGGGGCAGCGGTAATTAAGACCCCCCTTCTTTGATCGATCTCCTCCGAGATGGCCCCAAGAGCACCCCCAAGGCTCCCAATGGTGCCTGCCCCAAAAGGGCCCCAAGAGGTGGCCAGGAGGCCCCAAGAGGCCCCCAAGAGGCCCCCAAGAGGCCCCCAAGAGGCTCCCAAGAGACCCCCAAGAGGCCCCAAGAGGTCCCCCAGAGGCACCCAAGACGCTCCAAGAGGCCTCGGCGAGAATGCCAACATCATTGATGCTACTAAGGTATTGGCCACAATTTGGCCCCCTGGGGGGGGAACTCCTTACGATGACTCAAGAGCGCCCGGGAGAGCCCAAGATGACCGCCAAGATGGCTCAAGATATCCTAAGATGCCTCAAGATGGCTCCCACGATGCACCGAAGAGGCCCCAAGACCGCTCCAGCTCCAAGGCGGCTCCAAGTGGCCAAAGAGCTCCCCCAGGAGGCCCCGAAGAGGCCCAAACCCTTCCAAAACCGTAAGACAATACATGATTTTGGCGTTTTCGCCTTCTCGTTTCCGATGGCCATCCGAGGTTTCGAGATGGCTCCAAGATGGCCCAAGAAGGCTCCAAGAGCGCTCCCAAGGGCGCTTCAAGAGGGCCCCAAGAGGCGCCCAGGAGGCCCCAACAGGCGCCCAAGAGGCTTCATATATGTTTTTTTTGCTAAAATACATGCAAAAGAAAAATTATCCCGGCAAAGCAACCTAACAGCGATGTGAAAGAGCATTTCTGGAAGCATTCAACTTAATATTCATGTGGGATTCCTGTTGTAGAACGAACGAGACACTGCTATGAATGGATTTCGGTTCGAACGACTCACTGCTTTCGATAACTGTATCTTAAGACACTGCGACCAATGGATTTAATTCCAAACGAGACACTGCCATCCATGGGTTCAACCCCAAACGTGCGATCAATGGATTTAGCCCACATGAGACACTGCGATCACTGGATATATCTCTGAACGAGACAGTGCTATCAATGACTTTAATTTCGAACGACTCACTGCTTTCGAGAACTGTATCTCCAAACGAGACACTGCGATCAATGGATTTAATTCCAAACGAGACACTGCCATCAATGGATTTAGCCCCAAAGGAGACACTGCTACTAATGGATTTAGCCCCAAATGAGACACTGCGATCACTGGATTTATCTCCGAACGAGACACTGCTATCCTTGGATTTAGTTTCGAACGACTCACTGCTTTCGAGAACTGTATCTCCAAACGAGACACTGCTATCAATGAAACACATGCGCACAAGGACCTGCAGGAACATTTTTTCTTCATCGCGGAGGCTACAGTCCACAGCATGTTGATGAGCACCGCTCACAGCATGCTGAGCAGCAACGCTGTCACAGTGACGAAACAGTACAGATTGCAGGTGACTGAAAAGCACCGCCGTGCTCACTGCCAAGATGCAACCATATCTGCCTGCCCTGCAACTCGAAGAGGGAACGCCTGTGCACTGCATGAACGTGCAACCTGCTGCAC